GAACTCACACTCCTCCTGACTCAGCCTCGCAAGTGCGGAGGTTATAGGCATGTACCAACACACTCATCTCTTTATTTATTTTTATTTTCTGTGTATGAGTATTTTGCCTGCATTGTATGTAAGTGCACCCATGTGTGCAATACATGCAGAGGCCAGAAGAGGGTGTTGGATGCCCTGGACTGGAGTTACAGATGGTTGTTAACCATCATGTGGGTGCTAGAAACTAAACCAAGGTCTTCTGCAAGAGCAGCCAGTGCTTTTTTTAAAAAAAAATATTTTTAATGAATTTTTATGAATTTCATAAAATACATCTTATAGTTAAACACCCCCATCTGTGCCCCCAATAGCCCCCCTGCCAGATTTCATGTTTTCTGTCGTATGTTAAGGCCTATCAAGTCAAGTTTGTGTCCTGAAATGTCCCTTGGTGTGAGTCCACCTACTGGAGCCTGGTCAACCTATCTAATATCACTTCCTTAAAGACCACCTCAGGACTGGAGAGATGGCTCAGCGAATAAGAGCACTGACTGTTCTTTCAGAGGACCTGGGTTTGAGCACCCACATGGCAGCCATGAACCCTCTTTAGCTCCAGTTCCAGGGGAATCCTAAGCACCCTCTTCTGACCTGCACGGCATTGCATGACATGGGTGCACTCACATTCATGCAGGCAATACACTCATACACAAAAAATAAAAATAATAAAATAAAAAAAGAAGACCAACACTCCCTCATCCAGCAGTGATCAGTGCCAATAGTTCCTCAGCTAAGGTTGAGACTTCCTATCCATTTACCCACTTCTTTGTTGGGTTTTTGTCTGGTTTGAGATTCAATGGGTCTTGCACATGCTGTCACCATTGCTGTAAGTTCATATGAGCAAGTTCCGAACTGCCTGGAAAACTCTGATTCCTTGTGGTCATCCACCACCCCTGGCCCTTACAGTCTTTCTACCCCCTCTTTGGCCATGGTCCCTGAGCCCTGGGTGTCAGAAATTTAATATAGGCGACCTGTCTAGGGACAGGTACTCTACAGCCTCTTATTCTCTACATTTTGGCCAGTTGTGACTTTCTGTGTTAATCACTATCTGTTACATAAGGAAGCTTCACTGGTGAGAGTTGAGAGATGCATTAATATTATCTCTACCTCTTGTTCCACTATGTTCCCTGAGTCTCAGGTGTATAGAGGTTCCATTGTAGGTGTGTCACTCAGGGCTGGGCATCTCACAGACACTTATTTTCTGTGTTCGACCAGTTGTGGAACTCTGTAATAGTGTCCATCTGTTGCAAAAAGAAGCTTCTTTGATGAGTAGTGAGAGGCATACTTTGTACATATAAGAATATCTCTTTAGCATATAGTAAGAAATTATGTTTGTCTAGGGATGTGACAGATGTAGGTTTTTCTGTGGGCTCTATAACCTCTCCAGCTATGTGTGTTTGGCTATTTTCACTGTACCACATGTAAGTTCCATCCCATAGAACAGGCCTTAAGTTGAATTAGACAGCTGTTGATTACCCCCAAGATAAAAGTGTGACCATTACACCATAGCTAGCGCTCTTAACCACAGAGCCACCTCTCCAGTCCCCATCATGATCACCTTAATAATGAACTTAATACTGAAGTGTAAGTCTCCTTGTTTTGTACTACCCTTCTTAGATGATAGTCCACTAGCCTTGTGGCAAAGATGACACTAATTTAATGAGAGGGCATTCCATCTTATCTATGTCAGCAAAATCAACTCTTTAAAGACTGGTTTCTGAAGGAAGTAGCATTGAGTGCATTGCTTGTATATCCATTCATACTGCAGAACATGAGATGTGGACCCCTCCATTCAACAGGATAGCTCAGTGTTTACAAAGTTCTATGTCTTTCCTGAAACATAACTTAATGTCACGTGCAGAGTAAATTTTAATCTTCCATAGCTCAGGTGTTTGGAACAGAAATTGAGCTGCTTCTAAAACCAGTATCTCTTCAGGTAAGAATCTGGCAAGTCTGCTTTACTATTTTCCAAAGTAACAACATGAAGCTTCTCTGGGTTCAGCTACTGTCTTACATCTCACTTTGCTGTTGAAGTTACCAAGCCCCTTTCCCACAGGTTACTATTCTTGTTTACATGGAATCGTTAAAGGAACCTATCATTATTTCTAGATCTAATTTGTACCATTTCTCCATTGATGATCAGGCACTAACTATGAGGACAAAGGAATACAGTGCCACTGGCCCCAGATAAATATTTTTGAAGGTTTTAAAAATTATTATTTGTTTTACAGGAGAGTGATGGACTCTCAGTAACCTAGTTAAAGTTCTCTTCGTGGATATTTAACTTTATCTCAGAGTGAATGAATCTGGACAAAAGTCTCTGCCTTAGATTTGGTCTTTGCTCACCAGGAATATGTACCTGTACATTTGTCCCGAGATAGTGGCATTCTTGGTGGCCATATTTGGATGAAATTGTCTTGACATGGAGCCATACCAGTGATCTGCTGTTCCTTGTTCCTCCGATCTTCCTGTGGTTGTCCTCTGTTGTTCTGGTGATAGATCAATTGTCCACCTCAATTTTGTCATCTTTCTAGACGGTCCAGGCAAATGTCACCAACCCTCACAGTAGCCATTATGTGAGATGACCTGGTGCTGACTGCTCTGAAATGCAGCAGTCTCTATACTTGGTGGTATTTGTTTTTACTTAGCTGTCTCCTTGTATACCATCTTCCCAGTATGGAAATGAAGCTCCATGAAAGAAAACTGGTGTCTGCTGGGGGTGGCTCACTGTTGAATCCCCAGTGATTAGTGCAGTGCCTGAGTCATACAATGAATAAACAAATGGGCTTGGTGTCTTGTGCTACTCTAACATAGCCTTCCCCAAGAGAAACAGAACATGGGCCACATGTCCAATTAAAATTTTCTGGTAGCCACATTTAAAAAGTTGAAAAGATTAATTTTAGTAATATCTTTCACTTAACTTGTGTCAGCTATCATCATTTCAACGTAAAATCAATGCAAGAGATTTTCATTGTAGATTACACTTTATATTTTATATTAACTTCAAAATATGGTGTGTATTCTATACTAATAGCACATCTTGATTCAGACTCTAAATTATCTTTTGAAACATTTGACCAATATTTAGGGTTCACAAAACTTACAGTTTGAAAATTAGATTGACATATCTAAATTTTTCCAAACATATTTAAAATTTTGCAATAACTAAACTGAGAATAACTTTATATCTTTTAATTGAAATTAAGTAAAATTATATATTTGGCTTTCCAGTTGCACTGACCACATTGCAAGTGCTGAAGGGCTTCACGTAACTAGAGACACATGTATTGGACAGGCCTTCTCTATAACACGTTTAAATCACAGTGCTATAATTCACATACAACAAACAAAATGTGATAATCATTTCAATATATCTATGACAATTTATCAATAAAAATTAGAATCAACATGTCTCCCCAAATAAAAATATTGTCAAAATTATGCTTGTATTAATATTATTTAACTGTATTTCCTTCCAAAAGATATTATTCAATGAGAAGCAGTTGGGTCTGTGTTAGCAGCCGCATGTTGCATCACCACAGTCTGTGGATCCAGGTGCAGTCCCTAGTGGGTGGCTATCATTACTACGCCATTAGCAGATGCAACTAAAAACTGTCACTGTGAACTAACTTAATCAAATTTTTATAGTATACCACTTTCCTCCAGAAAATCCTGTTTATGGTATCCTCTTCCACAAACGTTGTTGGCAAGGCCTTGGGAGAGTGATATGGGCTTGGGAGTTAATTATATGCTCAGTAGGTACTTCTCAGCAAGACACAGTGCAGTAGTTCACCTCTCTCCAACATCCTGAATTGTGGGTATGATCATAGGCCTTTGTACATGTCAGCACCGTCCATCATTCTGGTATGAGGTAGGGAGATTGAAAAACATGATTACTTTAGAAAAATACCTCAGATTAGTCACTATGTCAAAGAAGAAAACAGGTTTTGATAACTTGTGACCACATCACTTCTGAACATTCAAGTAAAGCCACACTCTTTAGGTCTGGATGAATGTATGGTTCATAATGTATCTCAGAAATGGAATGACCTTTCTCAGTATGAGGAGTATATTTTGGATTGGGACAAGTTTTTTAAGGGTTGGTAAAAATCAACACTATATTATAATTTAAGGGGTAGAAATAGTGATGCTAAATTACTATTTTTTTAAAGATTTTGTGTGTGTGTGTGTGTGTGTGTGTGTGCATGTGTGTGTGCCACATGCATGCTGGTTCCCAGGAAGCCAAAAGAAAGCATTAGATTCCCCTGGACCTGGAGTTACAGGCAGTTATGAGCCGCCTGACTTGGATGCTGGGAATTGAACTCTGGTTCAGTAGGCACTCTTAATCACTGAGCCATCTCTTTAGTCCCTTAAATTATTATTTTAATCAAATCTATGGCCTACATTCCTAGCCAATGAACTTAATGAGTTTTTTAAAATTGATAGTAAAAATTTCATACTAGAAATCTAGACCACTTTAAAATACCATTGCTTATTTTGTCATAATTTCTGAGACAACACTGTCCTAACTAAAGAGCTGTTTAAGACTAAGACTCTCTAAGGTAGTTCTTATATTCTCTAATTAAAAAGAACTACACGCATCATTGCAGTATTAGTAAAAATAAAAAGACAAGAGGGTCAAAGTTCGTCCAAGATAATTGTCCTCCTCTACAATGGAGTGAGTATGTATGGAATAATAGGGGGAAGTTCCATGCACCAAGCATTTAATAGTCAAAACAGGAACGTTTAAAATACTCTGTTCATGGTTAAAAATAATTTGTACTCTAAGTCCAATGACCATTGCCAGGGAGAACCAAAGTTGAGAAATTTCTATTAAAAACATGACTCAGAGGAAAAAATACAGGGGCTGGTAATGAAGGAAATGATCTGGGGCCATTCCCCACTGGTCGCTCCTATAGTCACATGGTCAGGGCACCTTTAAAAGGGAGTTATCTGGACTCAAGAGGGTCACAGCCCCTTCCCCAACCCTGCAGCCTCTTTCTCACCTCGAAGAATAACCTTAGGAGATTTACAAAATGTGTGATGCCTTTGTGGGAACTTGGAAACTCGTCTCCAGTGAGAACTTTGATGATTACATGAAAGAAGTGGGTAAGTGCTGAGAGTGGCAGGTTTGCAAACTTTTTCTGGTAGGCAAAAGGGCTTATAGCTGGCTTTCACCCTGTGAGCACTGGCTGAGGTCAAAATGCTGTTTTCTATATGAAGGCTGGAGAAACACAAGAAAAGAAAAAATCCGTTCTCGAAGCTTTCTAAACCAAAGCTTCTAGCTGGTGCTTCCTACAGGTGAACCAATAGGGAAAAGGGTTTGATGAAAACTTATATGATCTGTAGAATAACAAGACGTTGCATCCACTGCCAAATGTGTGTTTCTGTGGTTTTCTTGGCTCTTTGCCTGATTTTCTTCTATTTCCTTTTGCATGTAAATTTTGCAATAACTTAGAAAGAAAAATATCTTTGTAGCATGAAATGATTTGTACTTAAAACCAAAGCCTATAACATTTTTCATCTTAGAAAAAAATCATTTTGGTTAGCAAATAATGTTAGCAAAATACGTTAAATTCTTTTCTGTCTCAGGGTTAAGATACAGAAATGTGCGGTTATTTTATGGTAGACAAATTCTTGACTTCTAGAAACATTTTTCTTCAAAGGATTAAATATTTCTTGGTGTAGAAATGATATGCGGTACCATGGAATTACTGAGTAACTGAAAAGGAGAGAGGCAGTGTGGCATACACAAGGCGTATGTACATGCCTCCTTTCTGATAACAGGCACAAAGTTTCAGGTTCTGTTGGCATTGCCAGCATGCTGCTATGAGAGTACTCACCAAACAACGGTGACAGGTGACAGTTAACATCGTGACAGTTGATCTGGAGGGTGCTTCTCAGCGGGCTTTTGCTTTGAGACCTTTCATGATAAAGTCAGATCCCAGATTCCAGAGTATCTTCATTAGGCTTTAGAATCGAATCCCCTAAGTCCCCCCAAACTTAATGTGATACAGTGGGCACACTTTAGGTTATCTGTAAATACAGTTCTTCTTGTTCACAGATAAAAGGAATATCAGGAATTTCAGCATGGCTAACTTTCTAGAACATCAACTAGCTGGGATTCAGCATCCCTGTCACCATGCAGTCGAATAGACATGTCAGGATTTGGGGCCACTGTTAGCTACTAACTTTCTGAAATGATTTACACTTGTAATAATCACTTGAAAACTATAGTAACACTGTTTAAATTATAAAAGGTCATAATTAAAGGTAGTAAGTTTCTTCCTGAATGGAACTGGCAGCTATAATTGAAGCAGAGTGGGCGCATATTACCTTCCGGAGTCAAATAAAAACAGAAAGAAACAAATGAAAACAGTGGGTTTTTTTTTTTTTTTTTTTTCCCCAGGCAGGGTCCTAGAGCCCTTCTCTAGTTGTGTCCCTTCCCTGTTGGTTCACTCTGCTTAGTTAATGCTGTGTTTTGTGGCACAGAAAGGACTCAAACTAGAAATATATCATTTCCCCACTTGTGGCCACTTTTTGGACAGGGAACAAAGTCACAGCATCTACATTGCTCAACTTGTGCTGTATTTTTCTATCAGTTCATCCCCATTTCTAACCTTTGGTTTCCTTTAGTCAAAGAAATTGCCTTGAATTAAGTATTTGTGTCAGAAAGTCAGCACGTCTGTGACTGTGGAAATTCTGTGTAAATAAGCAGCAGCTACTATTAAATGAGGTTGTAAATTATCTATCCCGTGGTCTGCACAGTGAAGCATTTCCTTCATTTAAACAAGTAATAGTTCACAACTTGAGTGACTGAGGATCAAAGTGTTTCCAAACTAGTCTAACTATGAAATTCTTACTAAGTTTTAAAGTTTTCACAAATGATATTTACTGAATTCCACTTAAATTTTTCTTATAAATTATTGGGAATGATATTGCAGTTCTAAAATGGCATGAATTTTAGAGAACTTTATGTTTGGAGAAATTAATCACAATCTTCATTTCATGGTTGAGTAATTTGGAAAGGAAACCTAGAAAACTAGACTTCATAACAAATACTGTGAAATAAAACTCATGGACACTCAAAATAGATGACCTTTTAACTGAGTAACTGTATTATCTCCAAACTCCTTGTGGATAACTTGGTCTCTAATTGTAAATTTTTAATATAATTTTTAATGTTTAAGAAAGAATGAAGTGGTCATGTTGCCTCAATCATAAACATAAAAAGCGACAGTAGATACACATATGCAATTAGCATATTATATGCATATTATAGATATATGACATATAAAATATATATACATATACATATGGGTATGAAGATTCAGTCTCTCTCTATATATATATATATATTTTTGTTGAAATTAATGTTGAATCTCCTGAGGGAATATACTTAGGACCAGAGAAGAGGATATGTCCAAAGTAAGTCTGTGTTGACTATACCTGAGAGCTTCTTTAAGAGTTAGCCTGATGTCTTAGCTGCACACATTGTTTAAAGAAGCCTCATGAAACTTGCAGAGCCTTCCTCGGGATCACACACTCACATAGTTCTTGACTTAGATAAAGATGTGAGGAGAATGTAAGCTTGGCATACTTTCTTCTCCTAACTGCAGGGGTGGGCTTTGCCACCAGGAAAGTGGCAGGAATGGCCAAGCCTAACATGATCATCAGTGTGAACGGAGACGTGGTCACCATTCGATCTGAAAGTACCTTTAAAAACACTGAAATTACCTTCAAACTTGGCCAGGAATTTGACGAAGTCACCGCAGATGACAGGAAAGTCAAGGTGAGGCACTAGGAACTGGTGCAGAGTGAATGCCTGGCTTTGACATGCCTGTAAGACATGATTTCATGATAATGGGAAAAAATGCTGTTCTGTCATAAGCTGAAGACCCCCGAGCCTACGTCTAAGCAATTCCACTTTTAATATGCTGTTAATGAATATCCCCTCTTTATTAAGTTGTCCTGGTATTAAAAAGTGATTATTATACTTTATGTGCTATACAATAAATAGTGTAATTGGTGTGAATTATAGCAACAAATAATTCTACAGAAAGTTCACAAAAATAGTGAAAAAAGGAAGAAAAATCACATGTAATACTGCTATCCCAACATATTGGTGATCTATTTTCTTTCACAGTAGTTTTTTTCAAATTGCAATTTTGCATTTTAATTTTTATCCATATATGAGTTCTATGTTATTGTTTTCAAGGATCTTTTTTTTCTTGTTGGAATGTATTTGTCATTTAAATTTACTAAGGACCTCAAAATATATCTTTGAACCAAGGTTCTATATTTTAAATTTTATTTTCTGTGTTCATATACAAATTGCAATCACTTTTCACTATGTCCACAGAGCATCATAACCTTAGATGGGGGAGTTCTGGTGCAGGTGCAGAAGTGGGATGGAAAGTCAACCACCATAAAGAGAAAACGAGAGGATGATAAACTGGTGGTGGTGAGTATCATCTAGGTACTTAATTCTAGGACCCACTGCCAGGTTACCCCAGGATCATGACTTTAAGAAACTCAACTTAGAGGGGCTGGAGAGATGGCTCAGTGGTTAAGAACACTGACTGTTCTTACAGAAGACCTGGGTTCAAATCCCAGGACCCAAATGGCAGCTAACAACTGTCCACAACTCCAGTTCCAGGGGATCTGACAGCCTCTTCTGTCCTCTGCAGGCATTGCCTACATGCAGGCAATACACACATACACATAAAATAAAAATAATAAATAAAGTATTAAAAAAAGAAACTCAACTTGCTTGTGTAGAGCAAAAATGCCATTTTTACTGAGCTTCTGTTTCCACCTTAGCAATAGTCCTTCATGTTTGCCTATTTATTTTTATTTGGTGCTGGGGATTGAATCCTGGGTCTTGCTTGCTGAACATGTGTCCTACCACCAAGCTATATCCCTATTCTCCTGGTGCAGTCAGCTCAACCCAAGCACACCCTCCCTAGGGAGTACCCTCTCTCCTTTCAGCCACTCTAAGCCTGAGTCCAGCAACACCCTCACCACGTTGATGTCACTAATTTACCAGGTAGATTTTCCAGCTCCCTGGGAGGAAGACCTATCTTCTTGGTCCTTACACTCCCTAACCTATTACAGTAAGGGATGGATATATACTAAAAATGTAGGATTCCAGAACAAATGTGTTTAATGGAATATTTTTTCCTTTCCAACACTGAAAGATACAAAAATTGAATGTTTGGTGTTGTCCCAGTGTTTGATCATGAATTTTTCTGTGCCTGTGTCTAGGAATGTGTCATGAAAGGCATCACTTCTACAAGAGTTTATGAGAGAGCGTAATCCAAGGGGACATGGCCCTAGACTGAAATTTGCATCGAACGCTACAATACTTGGCTGGATGTATTGTTGAAAAGGATATTACTTTCCACTAATTAGCAAGCAACTAATTTTCCTTGAAGTTGGATTTTATTAAATATGGTTGTGTTGATTAAATAAATAAAACTTTTTAGATTTAGAAAGTGGTGTAATGACATTTTTATTGTGCTGTATAATTTTGTACTCATAATTCAGTGAAGAAAATAGACAATTATATCATTACTTTCTTTCTGATATAAGTAATAAAAGATCTTTCATAATAATGCAAGGTTAAAAAGTTAATATAGGGCTGGAGAGATGGCTCAGAGCACTGGCTGCTCTTGCAGAGGACCGGGGTTCAGTTCCCAAAACCCATATGGTGGTTAACAACTATCCTTAACTCCAGTTCCAGGAGATCAGATGTCCTCTCTGGCCTCCATGGGCACTGTACATGTGGTGTACTTCTATACATGCAGGCAAAACACTCATACATATAAAATAAAAACAATAAATAAAATGTCTTTTAAGTTAATACCCAGGAATTTTCCTAGGTATGAGACAGTACCTCAGTACCGTGAATGGTTATCGAGCCTTTCTTTAGCCTGTCTACAGTTAGGAAACTATCTGTCTAAGAGCCAAGGTAGTTTTAAATGCAGTGGAATTGTCCACAGCCAAGTGGTCCATGTGTACACATTTCATACCTGACCTGTCCTAGAGCTTTGTGACACAGCAGAACATACAAAGCACATTGCTGAAAAAATCTGTAGTCTCCATTGTGTAAGAGAGAGGACAGAGAGGGAGGAGGGGGAGGGGGAGGGGGAAGAGAGAGAGATAATGTGCTCTCTATGTACCTCAGCTGGTTTTGAATTTGTAATCCTGCCTCAGTGTCTCATGTTGCTGGATTACAAGCATACACCACCATGCCTAGCTAGTCTGAAATTTTTAGATTGAAACATTAAATCTAAAACAAATTTTTTAGGCAATCTTTCATTTTTATAACAAGATAACAAGATTCTCGAGGCTGTGTACTTTATGAAGAAATAAGTTTACTCAGCTCACAATTTTGGAGGCTGAAAGCCCAAGATTGGGCAGAGCCGTAGATTTGACCACTGATCTCATGGTAGGTGTCATTATGGGGGAAATGTGTAAAAGACAGGGATGAACATCTTATAGTGAGAAAGAAAGCCAAAGAGCAAGGAAGGGTCCATCTTGCCATTTTCAACAACTTATTCTTGTGAAATCTAACTGGGGTTCCATTGATCCCATTTGAGGCGAGCCCTCGCCCCTGCCCCACTCATCCACTAATGACCTAATCACCTTTCAGTAAGTTCCGCCGCTTAAAGTTCCCACCATGTTAACGTAACTATGCTGAGGACCAAGCTTCTAGGATATGAACCTTTGAGGAACAAACTACATCCAAACCATAGCACCAGGATGGATCTGGAAGCAAGCAGAAGCCACACCGATATTTCAAAAATGTTCACTCCAGAAAAGTGTGACAGGCCTGTTCGTGAGCAAAGATGCAAATGTTACTCAGTAGTTTCCAAATGTAGCTTCTTTTCAGCAGAACATTTTTACTCAAATGAGACCTCTTTGGAATCCCAATGTCTAAAACACATGTACACACACACACACACAAACAAACAATAACAGCAGGGTTTCCTGGGCAGTGTATGTGTGTGTATACATGTGCCTGTTGCATGTATCTGTTGTAGAAGCCATGAAGCATCTCCACAGATTATTAAGCTTTTGCATATATAGATTCAAACTTCTAAATCACAGACTTACATTTTATAGTAAAACAAAAGCCTATTAAGGGGTAAAGGGAAATGTGTGCTACAGGATGTATGCTGAGTGGCATGTCAGACACAGAAAGACACTTGCCTCATACGTGGAAGTTAAAGGAAAGAAAGAAAAGTCACCCTGCATGTGGAATAGTGATTTGCAGGGTGGGGAGGAAGTGTGAATTTATTTAGCGTATGTTGTGTGAATGTACTGAAATAGTACACAGACTCATGCTAACCCCAACTAACGTGCATAATTAATACATGCTCATCAAAAACAAAACATACGCTGTAAATGTTATTGTTTGTGAAGTCCTCTTTGACATGGACTGCTAGAGCTGTTCATTTTCTGAGCACCTATCGTGTATGTAACACTGTGGTGTACAGGAGCCACAGAAGTGGATTAGGCTCCTGGTCACAACAGATTTACTTTAATCACAAAAATAGACCCACAGTCTGGGTTCAGCAGAGATTTGGAGAACTTAACTAAAAGTTTGCAGGAGTTGGTTAGGAAAATTCTTGGTAAATCAATATTTACTAAGAACAAACTGTGGAGTTAAGACACTTTGCATGATTTATGTCATTGATCATCAGAATAATCAAATGGGAAGAGTTAGCATTTCTATCGAGGTGAAAATCGGTGAGAAAACTGAAGTTCCTATGACTGCTTCTGTTTGGGGGGCAGCCTCAGTTTCAGTCCTGGGTGATTGCTCCTAATTAGGGGTGATCTTTTCCTAGGGGTCAACTGTCTGAGAGGTATCACTGTTTCTGAAACTCAAGGTCATTACAGGCTTATGACAATGACTAGAGACATCTAAGCATAGCACCAGGGGGTCTGGAACAGGAGACTTTGAAAACTGACAGTTGAATGTCACTGCAAATCTTGACAGACACTCCTTAAAATTTGAACACATCTATGTGCAGAGTTGAACAGGAATCTGACCCAAAGTCAAAGAGGTAAGTAAAAATGAAGGCAGAGTTGCCAAGATTCATGATGCATTAAGTCATTCATTGGGCATCTGTTAGACACAAGTGAAGTCAGTGCTTTCTAGCAATCGTGGCTTCTAAATTCTTATAGCAATCTGATTACTGTAACTACTACAATACTAGATCCAAATAGCCAATTTTCAGCAACAACATGTTTGCATTTCCAGGACACACAAAGAAATAGGAAAAGTCTATTCAAAGGAGAAATTGGAAATCTGTGAGTTGTTGATAGGAAGCCATACCAAACATGATGGTAATTCCTCAAAAAATTAAGCATAGAATTACCATGTTATGCAGCAAAGTCAAAGCACAATTACAAAAATATCTGTAGACCCACATTCATAGTAGGTTATTAACAATACATGAAAGCAAACTGAGTGCCCAACAGGTAAATGAATGATCAATGTATATACATGAACACACAGGCACACCCGTGCTCATGTATACATACTCAATAAAATTACTATGGTCAGACTTAAAAATGAAGGAAATTTTCACAGGCTTAAAAGCATAGATGAATCTTAAGAATACACTAAAAGGCATAATCCTGTGATAAAAACATCAAATACCATGTGATTTCACACACACAGTATCTAGTATATAGTACCTATAATAGTCAAAATCATGCTGACAGAAATCATTACAGACAATTGTAATAGACACTCCGGGCTACTGAAGATGCCAGAAATGTGGAACATCTACTGAGGAAACTTCCTGGCAATAAGAGAACTCAACATGGGAAAGTGGCAGTGTGCACTGCAGGGTCAGGGCTGTAAGGGAAGGGCTATCCAGCCTGTTGGAGCTTATGAACTCTGGATACTGAATATGGAGCTGCTACAGGATTTAATGTTTGTCCTGCTTGGTTTCAGTCTCTGGTTTGATCTTTCTTTGCCTTTCTTATGTTCCTCCCTTTTGGAACGGCAATGTTGACCCTATGCTGGTGTCATTTAAGTATGTAACCTTTTGAATTTATAGTGGCTCATAGCTAAGAGACTGTCTTCAGTCTCAGTAGAAATTTTAGACTTTGGAAATTTGAACAGTGTTGGAGCTTTGGGAATGACTGAAGTCAGACTAAATGCAGCATTGGAAGAAAGCCATGAGTTTTTGGGAGCCATGGACAAATGTTCTGGTTTGAATTTCTAATGTCCTTCACGGGCTTGAGTTTTGAATGCTTGTTCCCCACCAGTGGTACTGTTTGGGAGGCCACGTAGCCTTTAGGAGGTGGGGCCTGGCTGGCAGAAATAGTCACAAGGGATGGGTCTTTGAAGGTTTATTAGCCTGGCCTCGAGTTCTACCCTTATTTGTTTCCTGGTCTACTGTGATTGAGCAGTCTGTGCTACACAATTCCACCACTAGGAGCTCTGCTATCCTCCCCTCCCCTTCATGGGCTGAAACTACTGAAACTGAGACCAAATAAATCCTTCCTCCCTTAAGGTGTGTCTGTCAGGTATTGTGGTCATAGGAAAACAAAGGTAACTAACACTCCATCTAGTGGTAACCAGAATGAAAGACTTATCACAAGATTGGGTAAGAGAAGCACAGTGTGCTAAAAGCCTGTCTGTAGTCGTGGTTAAAGGACTCTAACAAGGAGGGGCTGGAAAGATGGCTCAATGGTTAAGAGTACTGGCTGCACTTGCAGAAGACCTGGGTTTGATTCCCAGCACCCACATGGAAACTAACAACTGTCTGTAAGTCCAGTTTTGGGGACCCAATGCCATCTTCTGACCTCTGTGGGCATTGCACAGCATGGATGCACTTACATACATGTAGGCAATACAGGCATACACAGAAGAAACAAATAAATAAAAATAATAAAAAAATTTCAAAAAAGAACTCTAATGAGAGGTGCTAGTTAAAAAGAAGCAAATTCCATTTATTTCTCTTGTCTCTCATTCATAAAAAAATTACTTAACATTTACAGTGTACCAGACACTGTCTTACCAATATAGAAGTGAGTATGAAATGCCCTTTGTTGATGCACTTTTAGAATAGCTTATAAGATGGCTGAGGGATAAGTAGCTGTAATACTATAAGCTATGTTGGTCAATACATATAAGGTCTAATTGTATCACATAATAGGGATTAACTAGTTCTGAACTAGTTCATCAGAGGAGGCGATGTCAGGGTTGGGTCTGGGAAGATGGGTAGACAGTGTACATAAAACCAGCTGCACATGACACAGGTACTTAGTTGGACTCACCTTAGCCATTTGGTGAAGCTATTTACAAAGATAGGGTAATAGTTAAAGGCTTAATCATTAAATAACAAAACCTCAGACACAAAATTGTTTAAATAGTAATGACATTATGAACTCATAACAGAGCTTCTAAAAATAAAGCAATGTCCAGTTCCTCCCCTCTTTGCTCTGCCATTATCAGTTCAGGCTCTATCTTTGTGTTGGTGCCACAGTGGATGTAGCTGTGTAAAATCACAGAAGAAAATGAAGTGGGCAGAGGAAGGCCAGTGGCCATCTCTCCCTCTTGACTGTCTCCCAAGGGTGGGGAATGTTAAAGAAGATAGTAATTTGGTATCCCCTTTTATCACGTGAGCCAATTGAGCTAAAAGGGACCACAGTGTTGATTTATGAATCAATCAATGTCAGGAAAATAAAAACAAGGATGAAAGGCAGGCTGGAGATCTTTACCTAACTACCCCACTGGCCAACGTGCATAGCTGAGAATATTTTCTACCTTTCAAACACAGTGAAAACACATTCGAAACCAATAAAACTAGAAAGCTGATCTCTATTTGAACATCCAATCTGACTACACCTTCCACTTTTGATTATTTTGAGCATAGTCTTTCCAAAAACTGACTCTAGGTTTTTGTTTGCCCTCTTCATATATGACTTTTCTACTTATAAAGGTGTAACAGTTCCCATTTCTTCTTTACCTCTCTTCTTCAACAGCAATTGTTTACGCTACCTGTTATTATTACTTCCTGGTGCCCAAACATCAATCTCTTGTTTTCTTTATATGTAAAGAGATATTTCTCAGAGTCAAAGAAATATTTGACATAAAGCAGATAAAAATCAGAATATTTGCTGGGCGTGGTGGCACATGCCTTTAATCCCAGCACTCGGGAGGCAGAGGCAGGTGGATCTCTGTGAGTTCAAGGCCAGCCTGGTCTACTTAGTGAGTTCCAGGACAGCTGGGGCTACAGGGAGACCCTGTCTCAAAAAGCCCCAAAAAATCTGAATATTCTTTGTCTGACCACTGACTGTCTAAATTTCCAGATCTTTGAGATAACTGGAGTTCAGTGAAGTGGCATCAGTCCATTTAATCAAATCTTTCTTAGACTTCTAAGAAGTCAATTTCCATCACCTGGATTGGAAAATATGACTTGAGAAGGAGTTGCAGAGATTTAATTTACTTGCTGTTTTTTACTTTTTAGAATGTAGATGTCAGGCATCATTTTCCTCTAAAACTCTCCAAAATTTTACCTTCATACTTTCAAGTGGTATCTTTTAATATAAAAATTATCTTGCAAGCCAGCCATGGTAAAACACACCTAGACTCCTAACGCTTGGGAGGCTGAGACATAAGGATTGCCAATTTGAGGCTCTTTTGCACTTCACAGGGAGACCCTGTCTCAAAACAAAACAAAAAGATTACTTTCTAAACCTGAAAAATTAGTTTCTAGGCATTGACTCTACCTCCTACCTCCTTTTAAAGGCTTTAATCAGAAAACACCACTTAGTGATAATTATCACCTTTCTTCTAGTCCTCAACTACCCTTGATTGACAACAATGATAATATTAATAATACCCTAGACCTCACTTCAAGCAACTGTAGGCATTTTCAGTTACATTAACAATATCAATACATCAACCCTGCAAGGAAGGGAAGGGATGATATTATTTTAATGAAGGAGATGTGTTGGGCACCATGACTTGCCTGAACAAAAAACAGCTGAGGCAGACCCGGTAAGGATGCTCTTTTTGGGTGGGAAAACATCTCAGCAGAGTGTTCATCAGACATTTGTCAGGATGGTCCCTCAGGATAACTCAGCACTTCCTGTTCAAAGGCTGGTCTCTACCGAAATTGACTCCATTCTACAAGCAACAGTCATTAAGCAATTCTTGGGTGTAAACCTCTTTGCTAGAAGCTGTAACAGTTGTCCTGAATTAAATGTCACATGTTAGTGTTCTGTCTCTTAACTTGGAGGGAAATAGAATGAGTCAACTCTGGTGCCAGGAACCTCAGACTCCCCGAAGCCCATTGGCCACCTTAGGAATGTCACGTGACGAAGATGATCTTTAAAGTAAGCTGCTGGAGGCACTGGGATGCCCACACCTCTTTGATCTTCTGTTGTGAGTGCCTCCTCTTCTGAGAAAGCTGTCCACGATGATTGAGGCCTTCTTGGGAACCTGGAAACTGGTCTCCAGTGAAAACTTTGAGGATTACATGAAAGAACTGGGTGAGCAACGCCACTGTAAGACTTGGAAACTGACAAGGGATTTTGTGAAGTGGCTGGGTTCCCACTGCACAATGAATTTTCCTACAATTTTCTTTTTGTTATCCTGAGTGATACTCATGTGAGGAGAACAAAGTTCATGATTGCATTTACTATTAGTACATCTTTTGCTTTTTCTTGTTATTAGTGATAATTGCATCTTCTAACATTTCTATGCCATGTTCGCAGCTGTCTTGCTCTGTAACCTGTGCATCCTTTTGGAAGATACTTCATACCAACCTCCAAATGGAATTTCTTTTTAGCTGGCTCATTTCATTGAATAGCTTTTCTGGATTTCAAATTTATATAGAAAAGTATCTATAATTAAATATATCAATTGAATTTCTTTCAGGGTTTTCTTTGTTATAGAACAGCAGTAGCAACAAATAAAATTTCAAATCAGTTTTTTCAGAGCTCTAATTCATGTGAGAGCCAGTTAAAACATAATTTTGAAGATTTTCTTTTTCAAGAAAGTGAATGTTTTTATATTACTGAATATCTTGCTATTGGCTGTCTCTCAGAAGTATAAAGCCTTCCTGTCCTTTATCTCTAATTCAAGTTCAGTGGTCAGACATCAGTCAGAATGACTTATGTTTGTAATGGCTCCTCTACTAATGATGGAAGAACAACAGATATCTCATATTTAATTTATAATGACTTCCTTTATAATAATGAACTATACGCAAAGTCAAAGATTTCTTCAGTTTTAAAACTTATTTTTAGCCAGGCGTGGTGGTACACGCCTTTAATCCCAGCACTTGGGAGGCAGAGGCAGGTGGTCAAGGCCAGCCTGGTCTACATTGTGAGTTCCAGGACAGTTGTGGCTACGGGAAAACCCTGTCTCAAAAAAGCCAAAAAAAAAAAAAAAAAAAAAAAAAAAAAAAAAAAAAAAAGAAAGAAAGAAAGAAAGAAAAACAAAAAACAAAAGCTTATTTTTAAATCCACCAATGGATGCTGACAATTATTAATATGTTTACTCATGCTAAGCAATGAAACAATACTTCATCCCCCCATAATAAGTCAACCTGCTTATAAATGTGGTATTTGTTCCTCTTTCATAGCCAGTATTAACTTCTCAGGGTTCATATAAGAACCTCGGGGATGGGTGTGGTAGTGCACACCTATAATCCCAGGAATCAAGACATTGTTGCAGGAAGGTAGAGTTCCAGGCCAGTTCAGGCTACATAGAGAGATCTGTCTCAAAAAATATATCTATGCCTACATCTATCGATATCTAGTTCTATATCTCTATCATCTATCTGTTTATACATACATATACATATACATCATGTATAGAGAGAGGTGGGAGAGGGATGGGAGGAACTTGGGAAGGCCAGAATAACACTAGTATTGATGGGAGCTGGGGCACAAGGAGGTCTCAGTCCACTCATTTTAAATCCTTTCATGTGCTCTTCCAACACACCTATGAGGGGAGCATTAATTATCCACATTTTACTGCTCAGAAAGCTGAATGGGAGACAAGCTGGCAGGTATGAAGGCTGGAGCTCAGGTTTTAACCATCTCACTTTCCCTGGAATCCACATGTCTGTTTCCCTGAAGTTCAGGGCATCACAGCCATTCATAATTTGAATGGAAAGTAGAATTCAATGTGCATTTCAGGGAGGAGTCAGTGTTTCTGTCTACCTACCATAGAAGTCAGATCTGACCATGGAAAATCCCCAATCTGAACAACACGGCCACGCTCTAAGCATTGCATTGTCTTTGCAAAGTTTCCACAAGGTTAAGTGCAAGCATTTGATCCCCTGAAAGCCATCATGCAAATATACATTTTACATAAAGCACAGATGTCTCAGAAAGTGAATTTAGCTTTTCAAAATGTTAGAATTATTAGCGCTACCTTCTGGTTGGGAGGGCCTGGCTCAATTTAGGCACCACAGAGAACATAAAATAAGTTACTATGGCTGGACATGGTAGTATACTCCTGTAACCCCAGCCCTGGGAGGCTGAGATAGGATGATTTTGCATTCAAGGCCACCCTGGGCTACATATTGAGACCCTGTCTCAAAAGAAAACAGGCACTATATGTTAGCCAAAATTTTAGTGGGGGAGTATGCATTCTTTGAAAACTGGCTTCCAAAATGCTGGTTGACACATCTTTCTAAGTATGTGAACAAGGCATATTGCCTTTTCTGTCTTACAGGAGTGGATTTTGCAGCCCGGAATGCAGCGGCTCTAGTGAAGCCAAGTGTCAATATTGGTCTCAGTGGGGAAATAGTGACCATCCGAACAGAAAGTTCTTTCAAGAACACTGAGATCTCCTTCAAGCTGGGGGAAGAGTTTGATGAAACCACTGCAGACGACCGGAAAGTGAAGGTCAGTCGAAACCAATTCTTCCTGGTATTCAACAATTGGGAAAAAATAGGTGGTTAGGCATGGTTTATTAAGCAGAGTTTGGTTTATTATGAGACCTGTTTGGGCTTGTTTAGTTCTTATCCATCTATAAAGTTAATCTGTTTGCTAATTATTCACATGGCACAATGGAGCTGACATGTTTGAAGTATTCTTTTTGTTGCTGTTGTAAGAGATAAGGTCTTCATTATTTAGTCCAGGCTGACTTGCAACTCAGAATCCTTCAGCTTCCCCTTAACTGAACGTCACCTCATCTAGCAAAACGCATTCACTTTTTCCCCAATTTTGTTCATTATTACATAAAAGTTCATACAGAAAGAAATATTCATTAAGGTCCTACAGCTTAGTCATTCTTTGTCTATGAGAACATCAATTTACTTATCTTTTAAGACTTCTAGGTTAACAGTATGAAGCCAGGATAAGAACCACAGAGAGGATTCTGAACAGACTGTCTAGGGCTGTAACCTTTTTCTTTATGAATTTCTAGAGCATCGTAACATTAGACAATGGGTCAATGATTCAAGTCCAAAAGTGGCTTGGCAAAGAGACAACAATCAAAAGAAAAATTGTGGATTCAAAAATGGTAGTGGTGAGTATTAGATTTTCTTTGCTCTTTTTGATACACACCTATCAAGCTCCCCAACTGTTTTTGTGCTGTGAATTGAGGATTTGTGCTGGGATAAAAAGGGTAGAACAAATTCAGCCTATCAATTGTCATCTATAAAAAATCTCTCCTTGTTTTCAGGAATGTAGCATGAACAATATTGTCAGCACTAGGACCTACGAAAAGGTGTAAAAAAAGGCAGACACCAGTGAGACCTTGGTCACTACAGGAAACTTGCCACTGAAGAAAATGTGCCTCAGCGACAGTGCTTTAAAACACTCTCAGCAGAAGTTGGCTCAATAAAAGCATTAACTCAAATGCAGTTTTCAAACTGTTTAATAAAGGTTAGGGATAGTCTTCTGACTTAGTAAGGTAAGATTTTCTTGCCACTGTCGTGACTGTTGGAGCACCAGTGTCCCCTCTGTTCTCTGCCCACCTGATTGCCACAGCCCTTGAGCTCCCACCAAAGGGCCCATTTCATATAAGTGAAGGCACTCTTCTAGAGTCATGTAGAAATTCATGTGGCCTCAAAGGGGGTTACATTATGTCACTGGAGCCTATTTGTGAAGCACAGGTACTTCTCAATCAGCATTGCTCAATTTTTATCTTGATAGAAGCCAAGCCTTGCTTAAAGATAAGTTAGCTGATAGCAACAGATGATAGGTGGATGGATGGAGAATGGATGGATATGTAAATGGATGGATATATAGATGATAGATAGATGATAGATTTTTGAGATCACATCTGTCACTGTTTACAACTCTCCTCCCCTCTTCTACACAATGACATTCCATCAGATACCAGTCCCAAATTTCTAAACGTCTAGTGAAAATATCATTGTTAGGGCCACACAAAGTTCTTCATTGCGTTTGAGTGCTCCTGGACATCAGAGCAAAACAGAGTAATGAGATAAAACGAAACAGCCGAGAGTGGCAAACGGCAATGGCCTTCTGCAGCAGGGGGATGAAAAAGAAGAAGACAGAGGAGAAATTATGTAACTAATCACATTGTGCCTTTGATTGAAAAAAAAAAATGATAACAGCTAGCCAAGCACAGGTCCTAAGAGCCATGTCTAGCATTCAGTAAAGTAGAACATTCATGTAATTTTCCCTGCAAACTGGATGAGAAACTGGAGGTGAAAAGAGGGTTACTAAGAATTACACCCACCTAGTAGACTTGAAGGGGGATGTCCTAGAAACGAGGTGCATAGCCACCTTTGGAACGGTGACACCAAAGAGCACTGAACAAATGACTAAAGCAAGGGATAGCAGCATGATGTGCCTCCTTGCCCAAAGGAGCAGGTCAGCTATCATACTGACCTTGGACCCTTGAGCTTCAGCTGTGTCCTGCAGTGCTGGCCCTGGAGCTACTCATGCAGCACAGTGTGAGCATATTAGATCCCACACAATGGTTCTCCTCAGAGAACTCGAGCATGAGAGCCAGGCATGCTGGGACTCACTTGTAATCCCAGCCCTTGGGAGGTAGAGGCAAGACCATCAGGAAATCAAGGTCATCCTAGGCTACAAAGAGGGTGTGTGGCAGCCTGAGCTACATTAGGCCCTGTGTTAAACAACAACAGCAACAACAACAACTAAACAAAACAAAAAAGGAGAGAAGAGAGAGGGAGGGGGGAGACTGGGAGATGGGGGGGGACTGAAAGATGGTCATTTGCTCTTTAGAGGGGAAAGGAACCTGCAGTCCCTGGTCATGTTCTGGAAAAAGTGAGCAGCACCCCACAACCACCTACACAAGAACTGGAGATGGAGGAATGACAGCTGCTTCTGTGACAGCTTCCCTCAGGGGCTCCACAACCATGACGAAGAAGTAATTACTTCATTCAACACTTGGCACTTGCTCATATACAGAGGTATGATGAAGAAAACAATGTACTTGTCATTTTCAAGACATTGCTGTCCTCAGATGTACTAAATGTTAGAGTGCAAAAACCCGATGTTCAGTGCTTTCTGGGAAGTCATTCACTCAGCAAGTTCTCCCTTGGGTTGCTGTTGTTTTGCCTTAGGTGCTGAAAACAGCAACGTGCTAGGGATGGAGTTTACAACTGCCTTCTGATCTTTCATTAAGTCTCAAAGCATAAATGCTAGGTTTTTATTCTCTGTCAAGTCTTGGCAAAATTTTTGTGGAAAAATAGGCTGGGGAGATGGCTCAGTGGGTAAAGCACTTGCTGTGCAAGCCTGAAGAACTGAATTTGTAGCACACACAATCCTAGAACTCATATGGTGAGATGACAGGAGAGGCAGGAGACTCTTCAGAAGCTGGTGAGCCTCTAGTCTGGAGTTTGCAGAGGCAAATGATCTAGTTTGCCTTCAACTGCTGTGACAAAACACTCTGACCAATACCAACTTAGGGAGGAAAGGCTTACATCTCCCAGGTCACAGTTCATCAGGGAGCCCAAGGTTGGAAATCAGGGCAGGAACCTGGAGACAGGAGCTGGAGCACAGGCCATGGAGGACTGCTACTTACTGGCTTGCACCCCTGGCCCCTGATCAGATTGCTTTCTTGTACAGCATAGGCCCACCTGCCCAGAGCTGGCACCACCCACAGTGGGCCCGGACATCCCACATCACTCAAAAATCAAGAAAATATCCCATAGACATGGCCACAGGAGGCAATTCCCCAGTTGAGACTCCTCAACCCAGGTGTGCCAAGATGACATTAAATCTATCCAGCACAATTGACCTCTTGTCAACTTTACATACAAAACACATCACTATTAAATCATATAACCCTTCCATTTCTTGTCCCCAAGATATGATATGAAAATTAATATCACAACATAAGACAGTACAACCTTAAAAGCCCCACGGTCCTTTAAAAATCCAAACAAAAGTTCACAGTCTCTTTTAAAAGTCTCTTAACTGTGGGCTCCTGTAAAATCCAAAACAAGTACTGTCTTATTTCAAAGGGAAGAATCGGGCACACCTAAGCAAAACCTAAGTCCAGCAAAGTAGCTTAAGGCTGGACATCTAGGATTCACGTATGATCTTCTGGGCTCCAAAGGGTTTTGGAAGCCCTACTTCTCTGGCTCTGCCACCCACAGCACACACAGCTCATCTCACAGGCCCAGGTCAGCTCCTTTCCACATCTGCTGCCCTTGGTGATCATTCCATGATTTTGGCATCTCCAAAGCGTTGAGATCTCCACTAAAACTGACTCTTCACCTTAACCAGTGGGTTTTTCTGGCCTCTCAGGGTGCTCAAAGCCTCAGCTGCTCTCTGTGACTCCTTCATGCTTTCAACACCAGAACCATGCAGGAGACTCTTATACATTACCAAGTCCTGCTTCCAGCTTGAGATGGAGGGTTGGGCTCCCTCTGGACCACAGCTTCTGTGCTGACCCTGAGGAAATACTTCCCGAGGATTTTGCCATAGTGATGCTGGTCTCTTGTTACTTACAGCTGATTTTCAGGCCCTGCTAACCAGCATCAATTGTCCCAGTAAAGCAAAGGTTTCATCACTTCAGTGGTTCTGGTCTCTTCTTAATCATAGCTGATTCTTCAGCACCAGGCAACCAGAAACCACAGATTCTCAACTCAAAATATTCCATAAGCAGCCCTTATAGTCTCTGCTTCCCTTGGAAGCTTCATTAAGTCGGGCCTCCATGTCTACAGCTCTCTCAGCATAACTGTTCCAAGATCTACAGCAACAAACTTGAAGCACTCAATAGCTTTTCCAGCCCAAAGTTCTAAACACTTCCACAATCCTACCCCCAAACACCAAGATCAGGTCTGTCACACCAGTACCCCACTCTCAGTAGCAATTTCCATTCTAGTTTTGTTATAGGACTGAGTTTGCAAAAAATCACCAACACCACTTTAAGAAAAGTAACAAGGTAAATTTTAATTTTTGACCAGCCAGGCTGTCTATCTCGGGAGTAGAAGCAGCCCTGATCATTTGCGGGTCAGAGTATTTATAGGATTATAGAAATATTATTTAAACAGGACACTTGTGAACCAATCAGGTTTGTACAACATAGCAGTACTTTGACTCTATTAATCAACAACCAGTCATTATACAGACAAGTGATACAGTCATAGAAGTTGTCAATCAACTTTGTAATTTTAAAATTTGTCAACTCCCTAGCTATAACAAGTATAGTAAGAAAGCTGGAATCAGCAGTTACCGGGTGGTCATACAATAACAGGGTGGTCTTATACTTTGTGTCAAGGTGACCTAAAATAGCAAGCGAGTTACAGAAGCGAAAACAAGCAGTTAGCCAGTTGTAAAATGTCTGGAATTAGCACATTCCGTGGTTCATGGCTAGGACAATTTCCCAAGACCCAAGGTTGCCCCCCTTTTCCTTTTGGTGTGGAGCAAAGTTGCTGCTAAAATGGCTCTGAACAAAATGGAGTAACTTAGGTAAGTTTGCTGAGCCAGTTCAGTTTGTTTCTCCATTGCTGTGATAAAACACTGGCCAATACTAACTTGGGGAGGAAAGGGTTTATTTTATCTTACATCTCCTGGGTCACAGTTCATCAGGGAGCCCAAGGTAGGAACTCAGGGCAGGAACATGGAGGCAAGAGCTGGAGCACAGGACATGTGAAGGAACACTGCTTAGTGGCTCAGTCCCCTGGCCCATGCTCAGCTTGCTTTCTTATACAGTACAGAACAACCTTTCCACGGGTGGCAACGCCCACAATGAGCTGGGCCCTCCCACATCACTCAACAATCAAGAAAATGCTCCACAGACAATTCCCCAATTGAGGCTCCCTCTACCCAGGTGTGTCAAGTTGACAACAAAACTATCCACCACGGGAAGCATCAAGAGAGACCCTGCATCAAACAAGGTGGAAGGTGAGAACGGATACCTGTGGCTGTCCTCTGACCACACATGTGCCATGGCACACTCATGCCTACATTTTCATATACAAATATACACATCATATATACACACACATGCACACATCATAGACACATACACAAAATTGGGGGAAATTATTGAAACTAATACTTAGAAACATTAGTTTTCACTAATAACTTGTATAATCTCTCTTTTCGTACATCTAACATGCTTTTAAAAATCATTATGTTGCCAGGCATGGCAGCAGGCACCTTTAATTACCAACACTTGGGAGGCAGAGGCAGGTCAGTCTGGCTTACATATGGTTTACATAGTGAGACCCTGTTTTAAAAAACACATCATCTCTTTTTAAGTAAATTATAATGATATATTTTTATATTACATTGTGTTTTTAGAAGAAAAATAGTAATACAACCTTT